CCACAATTTTTAAGTGAAAGCTTGAAAATGGGCAGTGGGGCAATGAGGTTGCCCTCATATTTCAGCTCAGCTTGAAGAAAACGAGGACTAGGTTGAGGAATTGAAGGGCTGGAAAAAGTCCATGACCAAAGAGGGACTGGGTTGTTACCGGAACCCTCTAAACTACCCTGAAACTAGAGGTGGTGCAGGGCGTCCTGTCTGACAGGTATGTGAGGGTTTCTTTTGTGATTTTGTCTTCTCGTCAGAGTCTCTGTTTTTCCTTTTATAAACTAATGAACAGACATTAATCTGTCTTGCAAAACGTGGATGCCACCCTCTCAACTGAACTACAGTGATGGGCATTTTGAGCAGAGCTGATAGCAATTCCTGATGTAATTTGCCTCCCAGCCAGAGATGGATGTTTAACTCTGTGCCTTGGACCCTGCAGAGATGGAAGGGTGCTTATCTTGGAAGGAGGAGGAACTGTTCAAAATGGAGCCAGAAGAATAAAAACTAAATTGGCCTCAGGCAGGAACAATTAATAGAGGCAAAGTCAAGATTTCTCTATATATATGCATGTGTGCGTGTGTTGGGGGAGTTGCTAGAAGCCTGGGGATCAGTACGCTGTGCAGATTTTAGAAAAGCTACAGGAACTGCAGAGCTAAGGGATGACAGCAGCAAGAAATGTCCTGTTTTTCATACAGGCAGAGACAAGCCACCAGAATCTCCCTTCCTGATTTAACAGTGAGGTTTGGGTAAATGTTTCATACATAGCATTCTCTGGGAAGCCTATCTGTGAACTCACAGTCTGTTAATTCAGCCTTTTGGCACATCACTCTGCCTCCTCTCTGTCAAAACTAGTACACACATAAATCCCAAGCCAGACAAAGGAATATCCTTCCCCAACCACATCAAACTCCCACATATGCTTCCTTTAGCCTACCAGCATTTTGTGTCACTGTCTACGTACCTACCCAGAGACACACTCCCTGCCATATACTGATCCACTCATGTGTAGTCTCCAACCATCAGGCACAGTTCCCCAAAGGCGCCTATCTGCATTGCGTTCACAGTCCTCCTATAAATGTCCTATAAAAAAATGCAGTATAACTCTGCTTTTACCTTCCCCATACCCTCCTCTGAGCACATCAACTTTTCAGATTTGGTTACTATATATATAAATGTACCTTCTATGCTCCTCCTACTCCATCACTTCCTCTCAATGTCTATATGGACAGACATATTCTGTCCATATGTCTCAAACACTTCATGTGCACATCCTGTCATTCTTCACACCTCTACCACAGCTATTCCTCTCCTGTGGCTCCAGATTGAACTATTGTGTTGTCCATTTCCCAGTGACAAGGGGTCTAGTTACAGGGTTATTGATTGGTTTTCATGCAGACAGATGGATCTGCCTTTGGTCTCCCCACCAAAATCCACCTCTATATGGGCTGATTGTCACTGCTTCAGGGATAGGATTTCACCAGGAGACCACCCTCCATGCAAACATCCTTCACCCAGGCCACAGATGGTAATAAATGGAGTCAGGCTGAGCCATAATAAAAGCAATTGAGTGGGTTACCTGTGCAGACATGAGATTTATACCTCCTCATATTTGATGTGATTGTTTTATTGAGTTCTCAGTGCAGTTAGAATGCCGTTTATTTATTTATTTATATGCCTACTTATCGGGGAAGAGGGGGGAGGCCGTTGCAGTCTGGCTCGTGTTCAGCCTCTGTCTTGTCAGGTACGAGCCCAAAGAAAAGGGCTCTCCAGTTTTGCTCTGCCTTTTACCTAGACTTGGGCTTGGTGGGTGAGCCCTGGCCAGATGTCTCATTTCCTACAACAAAGATGTTTGTTTCAGGATCCCTGAAACCTTGAGGACTGCCTGAATTATGAGCCTGGTAGCAGCTAAGGCAATGGTGTAAAGAAAGATGTGTGTATATAGAGATTTCCTAAAAGATCCTCTTGAAAGGAATTCCTATTTATGCCATGCCTGTTTTGGACAATGGGCTGTGATCTATGCACAGAGCTTCTTTATGCTATTGCAATAGAAATAGTAAGCACTGGCATTGCTTCTGACTCTGTCATCACATGTGAGCGTTGAGAAATATTAGCAGGTGCAAATTGATTGGAAATGAATATTTGTAAGTGCACTCTGAGGAGTTTGGAAACGGAGTGATTAGATTTGTGATTTTCAGCTGGGTAGATAGCCATATAAGTGCTACAAAATCAGCTCTCAGTTACTGGCACTAGAGAAAATTGGAGGCTAGTGCTGAATATCCTACTGTCTAGTATTTCATCACAAGCCTAACGGTATTTGTTGTGGGTTTTTCAGCTCCTCTAGTCAAGTGATAGCGGGAGAATTTCAGTTCTCATTTAATAAAGTATGTTCCAGTGCTCGGGGGGGCTTGAAAAGGGGCCTGTCAGCTCTCTGGAGACTCAAAGGGCTGCATAGTTAAGGTGTTTTTAAAATTGTTTAATGGGAGTCGGATATCCAAATCCCTTTTAAAATTTAGGGTAGAAAACAGAAAACAAAAACAAACCCACACTGTATTACAACTACTAGTGATTTTTATGCCAATTGCATGATTTAGGCACTGCCTTGGCATTTTTAAACAGTTGGGAGTGGTAAACACGGCCATGCATGTATGGGGTCGAATAGATTAATTGGGATTACAGTGGAAAAATCCTCATTCCTCTTAGCTCTCTGTTTAAAGAATATTTTTTTTTGAGAAAAAATCAAACCTCTCTGATGCTTTCATGAGTAGTATTCATCATCTGAGCCATTTACACACAGATGGGATTTCCTAAAGCCCTAGTTAGCTGTGCAGATGTCAGGCTAGTGACAAACACTTTTGGAAGTCTCTACCTTTGCATTTATAGAGACCCTCCCTAAAAGTGGGATCCCTGAGTATTTTGCCAACTGTAAGTAGAGAGCCTAAACTCCATTTGAATTTCAACATGCCTGAATTTGAAGACCATGGAATATAAGCGAAGCTCAGCCTTGTCCAACTGTTTAGAAGTCATGTCTTTTTATTCAAGTAATATGGAAATCTTTTGTTTGAATGGGCTTTAGGATCAGAGACAGGTTTTCTAGGATATTTGATGTACAACTGAAAACATGATTTTGTTTTGTATGCATCATGTCATCATATCATAAATGGTCTAGCTGGTCTGCTAGAGCATTATCTATCTCTTTAGCCAACACAAGATTATTGCTTATTGTATGTTTGCTTGTTATTAATGCCATCTATATATGCCATATATATTCCAAGAAATCAGGAATTCCTATGGGATGCAATTCCACAACTTAATGGACATCCCTATCAGGGGATACCTTCTGCTACCATTTAAATGTTTCCTTTCTTATTTCCCTCCCTTCACTCCTGGCAATGCTGCTTTGTTTAAACACTAATAATTCCTTTCCTGTTAGAGGAACTGTGTCCTTCAGATCACTGTATTGTTCTCACCACTTCATCATTGCTTGGCCAAGCCACTTATATTTTCTCTTCTTTTCTACCAAAGTCAAATGAGTTTTTTTACATAATAGCAATTCTGGTAAATGAGGTTTAGCTCCATAACACTCACTCACCCAGCACTGAAATACAGCTACCTCTGTGGCAGAATGCAGCAATCACTCACTAGATGCAAAAGCTTGAAAATGTTTAACTTCCAACAAAAATCAAGCTTTCTCTACATCTATGCAAAAAAGAAGGGCTGGGATTTTCAGGTGATAAAGGGACCAATGTGGTTCTGAACTTCAAGGTTCACAGAACAGAAAGCTCAAAACTTTCCAGGCACAACCAATTTTACTTGCTAACTACCTCTGTTGGGCTAATATCTCTGCAATATGAAAACCAGAAAAAATGCGTCTAGCTTATTGTAGTTCCCACCATGCAACCTTCCAGTGGCCAGATATGAGGAATAAGACAAAGAGAAATGCTGTGAGCATTCATTTACTCTTTCAGCTGCAGTAACATTGTCTGTAACCTCTGCTTTATGAGCCTGTCCTTTATTTGCAATGATAAAAAGAAGATAATGCCAGGTTTGTGTCTGATGGAAAAGAATCTGAATTTAAAGGAGCATATTCCCTGTAATGATGACCTGTGTGACCCGAACACTTTCTTTGCTCAGCTGAGAGCAGCTGGCAGTAGAGGTGTTGTACCTTGAGAGCGTGCCCTGATACAGAAAACAGCATGGGAACTTTAAACTCAGCATCAGCTAAGGGAGAGGAATCCTGATAGAATCCCAAGTTTCTTCTGTGTGTGCTAGGAAGAGCCATGTTATGAGGCCTGCTGAACTCTGTTGAGTAGTGTCAGACAAGTTTTCTTCACCCCTGCCTTACACCAACAAACACATGGTCAGTCAGAGGCTAATCCAGTCTACATGGCCAGTCTAATCCTTGGACTCTCTACTGAGCTGACTTGTAGCTACTAAATACTGATGGTGGTGGTAAGTTTTTGTGACACTTGCACACGCACACACACTTGCCACTTAAAACTCTGTGATTCACCCTGTGTTCACTGTGGGCCATGCAGCTGTCACTGGTTTTGGTCCCTATGAACAAGGTGCTATTAGAGATACTCTGTACTCTTTCAGCTTCTCCCTAGACTCGTTACCTGTCCCCCAGGAATTCCATTTTTTTGTGGGAAAGACGGTGAAATTCACAAGTGACTTTGGCCAGGGTGTCCTTTGGGAAAATTCTCAAGGGAGGCTAGCAAGAGTGACTCAGAAAGCTGTTTGCATAACATTGATTTCTTCCGCATGTGACACAGCCCCTGGCCTAAATCACTTGCTTTTTGCCAGACTCAATTGATTGTCTTGAGATGTTACGTTTACCTGAATTGAGGTTCTGTTCAATTCTTGCATGGGCTAGAACCTCAGCTGATGTAGAACAACCCTGGGTCCAGTTTTGAACCTTTTCTCATTACATGTTAAACTCCATGGGCATTTTTAGTGAAAAGTCACATTGAGTTTTACAAAGGTAGCTAAATGCTATTATTTTTATTTTACAGCTGGCAAAGCAGCCTCATAAGGAGTCCGTGTGACCAGCCCAAGATCAACCAGAAAGTTAGTGGTAAGAGAAATCCGTTCTCCTCATACGCCATTCTTTGCCCTAAACTACAGTCCTGCCCACAGCTACCGAATTGGCCACATGAGCAGTAGCACTTCAATGTACATTTCATTGGTCATTACAACCTGAATCAGTGTGTGTGTGTGTGTGTGTCTTCCCACATGTGTTTTTAAAAAGCACATCATTATCGGAGACTTTAACTAGGAATCATTAGCTGATTGTTATATAATGAAAGAAAAACATCTCCCCAAACCAAGCACTTAACACCAGAAATTTAATGTATATCCAATACCTAAGTGAAGACTGAAAAACACCTAACAGCTTGACTGAGATAATATATCCACTAAACTCTATTCTCTGTTGTGGGGTATTAATTAGGGTTACTCTCAGGAACTCAGAGTCCAAAGTGTATTAATTCAGCTGACTGGCTTCTGCAGTACTTTGGCTTTGACATTTCTTGGATAAGGACAAACCGGGGCTCTCCAGGACGGAACCCAGCCACAGGAGAGCTGAGATAGAGGGACAAATTGGGGTGGAGGGGGTGGGGGGAGTTTGCCCTTCTGGGCCTATAAAGAGTTCATTAATTTAGAAGAAGCAGGAAATAATGCTTAAACTACAATTGCATCACTTGCTGCATAACCGTGAGCGCATGTCATGATGTGTTCCATCCTGTTCCCACTAAAGTACACCACCTAATTCAAAAGATTTTTGTGGGGTGATTATTATCTCAGGAAACCTGTATTCTTAGACTAACTGTACATGCTGCAAAACAAAGGGAAAATTCTCACTAACTTCTGCCTCCAAGTTCATACTTAGGAGACCGCCGCAAGGCTCACAGCAGTGCCTAAGTCCAGTTGAAATATTCTAACCCAAAGTGACCAAAGATAACTCATTTATTACATTCATATGACAAATGGAAAAGTTTGGCAGGGTGCTCAAGAAGAAAGATGCTCAAGTGATTTAAAGTAAGCGTGAATTGCTTACCAGGGAATTAAGTGCTTGTCACTTGCATGCTTCTCAATTGCATGCGCTATGTATATGTGTGTTTACATAGTGCATGTATGTGTGTATACATGTGTGTACCTACACACACACAACAGGCTTATACTGTATCGTATCAAATGTATGAAGTGGGAACAGGAAAGCTCCCAGTGCAGAGATAACTCTTTTCTCTTGATCCTGTCAGTTCTGATGTGCTTTGCTTATTAAGTAGTATACTCTCTAGACTTTTTTGCCATAATTAAGGAAAATTACTGCATAGCAGACTTAAATTTTTTTTCCTGACTCTTGACAGGGTAGTTAAGTCATGGTTTTCACTAGAGTTTGCATCTAGCCTTTATCTGCCTGAGTTTGGTATGAGCAAGTGTTTGATAAATCTCAGTACTGAATTACATGCAGTCCCAAATGCTTCCTGATATTCTCAGTGCAATACTGGCAGATAAGTGCAACACAGGCACACAGAATTTATATATCACAAAAATAATTAGTAGAAAATAGATTTTTTAAATGTTTTAGGGAGACTCTAAAAGTGGAATTGAAAATGCACTGTTTTGCAGGCACTGTCCCGAAAGCCTTTAGTAATGTTAGATGGATCCCCAGAAAGAAAATAAAATGTAATTAATACACTTTCAGAAAATCTTAGCATAACCAAAAGTATTTTGTTAGTGTGTACAAGGATCTCCATTTTGAAGTACAATATTCATGGTCTATCTGAGGACACAGGTAACTTGTATTTCTATAAATGCCTCACTTACGGTTTCAAGAAGTTAAACTGTTCGCAGATGAGCAGTAATAGTTCTGGACACTGGACCAATGCAGATTTTGCTTTGGAAATTCCATATTTTGCAAAAATAAGATGACAGATATTTCTAGAAGGTTGGGATTTTAAATTGTCATCTATCCAAAACTGCTCAGAGACTTGGAGTGTTAGATTAACTCCAATATATGATTGTAGTACTGGTAAGGGATGTGCTGTTACAAGAGATTCACCCAATTCTGTATGTCTATTTTGACAACGGGAGAGAGAGAAAATGTGTATTTAAATCATGAACTTAGACCGTCTTTGTGTTTTGTGGTTTTTGTGAGCTGGAGTCACAAAAGTCACTGGAGTGATGAAGCTCATACTACTCTCCGCGGCACCAGGATTGGGCCCTTATATGCTTGCTCTTTCCTATTCCACTGAATTTTTTCCTGGTTCGCTGTCCTGTTCTTGCCTAGCATAATGTCCTGGATTCAGCACCACGACACACAGACTTGCAAACGTTATGACCTGTGATATGATGGGCTCACTTTCTCATAGATGTGAGTTTTGAGGAGCCCCACACAAAGCAGGGGCCTGAATTTTTAAAAGAAATGGAGACTTACTCACAGGAAGCCAAAATGTTCTTGTGCCTTGGTGACCACACACTCAAATTCCATCACAGTATGACTCAAACATGGTGGGTCACAGCTGAGCCTCTTCAATGTAATAACTCTTAGTAGCTACAAAGTTCTTGTCCTTCTCAAAGCATTTTATAAGCACAATCTGACATCTGTTCCCACCTGCTTCTGAGAAGGATCAGTTTTCAGTTACAGGGCGGGGAAACTGAGGTACAGAAACCCAAAGCCCAGCCGCAAACTGGTAGCAAAGGTGGAAACAAAACCTGCAGTCAGCCTTCTGCCTGGGACATTGCAACCCAGTCACGAGGCTGGGACTTCAGCAACATTTGGCTGCTAACATCACTTGAGCTGGCTGAAGTATGCACATGCATTGGGTCTGTAATATGCTCTTCCTCTGAAGAGCCCAGAGCCATTCTTCTGGACTTCTGTACCACCAGCTGAATTCCTCTCAGGGATAGCTGGCTGTCCTTCCACAGCTGCCTTTGTAAGGTGTCTGAATGTCAAACTGTTATTATTTCAAAACCTGACTGAGAGAGTAACAGAGACCTGGAGGTTTTTTAGGAGGGTGTATAATTAGCCGATCAGTATTATGTTACCCTGTTCATAACTTAATAACCATTTTAATACAGATGGCACACACAGGGATAATTTCCTAGGGTAGCCTAGCAGTATATTACAGAGACAGTATGTCTGAGGGAATCTTTCTTAGCCAAGGTACATTCCACTAGCTAATTCTACCTGCTGTTTTCAAGATGATTTGGGATAATTCCATATCATTTGCAAAATATTAAAACCCATTTATATAGGATGCCAGATTTAGAAATACACAGTCTGAGTTATTAGACATATTTTGATAAATCTGCCATGAAAAGTGCAAGACAAAAAATACCACCATGTTTTCCTGGCTATTTAATTTTTGCTTCCCTTGCTATAAATACACCAGGTTTTAAAAAAAGAACTGGCTAAACTTGTTATATATCAAAAGGGCCAATATACTGACTTGTGCAGTTTTATCTATGCGGACACTACAAGAGCATGCGCGCATATTTACCGACACCCCATATACATTAATTTGAGTGGGAAGCACTGTATATTTGGGATTGCATGCAAATTTTTGTGTGTTCTTGCTCAGTTGGTGAGGTATTCCATGCCTATGTATGTACCTTTTGCAAATACCCTTGTGTTACCCTGTTTCTGGAGGTTGTATTTCTGAGGGCATAGCCGAGGTATCTGTACATTACATTGCACTAAACCAGCGTGATTACTTTTACTGTGTGTATGTGTTGCCAGAGTATGAAGATCCGATGTATGCCGCTTCTGCATGTGCAGACATGTGGACAGCCCTGCCGTGTGTTAGTACCTAATTACAGCTATCACCGGCCTTTCTCTCCACCATCGACCCTCCTTTTTTTTTTTTTTTTTTTGCCTGTCATATGGTTATTTTTGTCACCTCAAACCTGAGACCAAATCTCAGTCCCTCCACCAGCAAAAGTCGCACCCTAACACCTGGGAAAGAACATGGGGGGAAATTGTTCTCCAGGGCTGAATCGATTCTGCTGCTTCCTAGCGCGCTGCGAGGGCCGGGATCGGCCGGAGCCGCAGCAGCGCAGGGAGCAGCGCTCCCCGCCGGGAGAAGGGGCCACTGTGCCTGCCGAGCCTTTCCCTCGGGATAGAGATGAGGTGTGAAACGGGGGAGAGGGTGCAAGGAAATCCTTCCCCCTCCAGCGCTCAGCGGCTCGGGGCTGTAGGCACGGCTTGGCAGCGGGTAAGGGCAGCTGCTCGTTCAGAGCCCTGATACCGCGGCAAGGCTGGCGGTCACTGACCTCCAGAGAGGGGTGTTAAAAGGGACAGGGGAAAACCTGGCTCCAGCACCCGTCACCCCGAAATGCCCCCCGGCTTTGCGGCGCCGCCGGTTGCTCGGCCGGGAGATTACTGCTCCCGCCGCACTGCCGCCTGCTCGGCCCGTGCGGGAGCCGCAAGCCGCAGCCCTGCGGCAGGAGCAGCGAGCCCCTGGGCAGAACTGCTTCACAGCTGCCCGGGCCTGGGCTCGGGGCTCCTGGCGGGGCCAGGCAGCACCCGGTAGGACGGGGCCAGGGTCTGGCGGGCCATGGCCAGCGCTCCCGCTGCGGGCCGGGGGGCTGGAGCAGTCTGGATCTAACCTGGCCGAGGAAGGGTCAGGCTGTCTGCGCTGTTGATAGGGGGTTTATGGGGCCGTAAAGAGGCGATTGAGCCGCGAGAAGGGCTGCGGGGTTGCCCTTACCTGTTTATGGAGGAGACGCTGGGGACCGTGTCGTTGTCGCAGATGCCCTCGGCCAGTAACCTGTCCCGGATCTCCCAGGCGAACATTGTCGGGTTTTGTCTCTTGTACTCGGCGATTTTATCCACTACTTTGGGGGTCGCTACTTTGGGTTTGGACCCTCCGATCACGCCAGGCTTGATGCTCCCCGTCTCGTAATACCTGCGCAAAGGACGGTCAGTGACCTGCCGTGCTCGGAACAGCCCCGCCGCCCCCTGGCACCCGGTGCCCGCCCGCCCCAAGGAGCTCCCCGCGGCCCCCGGTCCTGCTCCCCACCTTGGCTTCGGCCCGCCGGAGAGCGGCGTCGGGCCGCGGCGTCTCGGGGGCCGCATAGCGCAGCTCAGCGGGGTGCCGGGCCTCCTGGGCTGAAGCTGGGGAGGTCCCTTCTCTGCAGGGCTCGCTCCCACTCTCCTTCCCCTCCGCCCACCTTTTTTCTCCCTCTTTTTTTCCCCTATGTGTGAGAAGCGAGGGGCGCTGGGCTGTTCGCTGCCTCTCCCTTCCCCCGCCCTACACGCACACACTAGTTTCAGGCCCAGGCATCGGGAAACAAAATAGAAACCCTCTCCCCGGTGCAGCTGGCCGTAGGCGAGGCCCGCTGACCGCTGGGACGGGACGGGAGGCAGGGGAGGGAGCACAAGCAGTGCCGGGCTCACACCTCCTCCCCAGCCAAGCTTTCCCGTCTCGGGGCGCTGGCAGGGCTGTGAGTCGGGAGCACGGTTTATCCATCCCCAGCCCTCCTCGTGACCCGTAACGGGCAGCTGCAGCCTATCTCTCCGTGTCCACCAGCTCTGCCCGCGGCTCTGGCCGGCCCTTGGAAGCCGCACGCAGCGCCCGGGGCTCTGCTGCCTGCTGACACGGCTCCGGATCCCGGCCGCAGGGCCCGGGCCGCCAGCCCCCCCCAGCCTGCTCTGCGGATTATTTCACACCACATTTGGCGCCGATCGGTTACCGCGGGTGTTTATTTATTTATTTGCCCCGTTGTGTGTTTATTTACCCGTGTGTTTGCTAAGGCCGCTAGCGGATTGTTGCGAGTTGTGGATTTTTGTTGTTGTTGTGGATTTTTTTTTCCTTCTTTCGTTTTTTTTCTCTCTCTTCCCCCCCCCCCCCGGCCCTTTCTTTTTTCCGCCCTTCCGCCCACCCCTCGCAAATTGTCTGTCTTCCCAAGAGTTTCCAAACACAAACGGGGAGGGGGAAGCCCGTCTTCGGCGGCTGGAGGCCGGGGCCCTTCTCAGCCCCGGGCTCCAGCTGTGCGGAGGTGCTGGGGCCGCTCGGGAAGGGGAGGGAGGTCACAGCGGAGCGGGGAAGGGACCCACGGTTGCCGTCCCAGGGGAGGAGAAGGAGCTGCCTCTGTCCTTACCTGCCCAGGATCTTGCTGACACAACCGTGGCTGACCCGCAGCTGCCTGGAAATGTCACAGGGTCGCACCCCCTGGTGAGCCAGCTCCACTATCCTTTGTCTCACCACGTCAGGTAGGGGCCTGCCGTTCACAAACACCCCCCCGAGCTGGTTCACACCCCCGTGCCCTGCTGGGGAAAGAGAAATAAAAAAAACACAACAACCCACGCACACCAGAAACACACCGTTAGTCGTGGGCTCTTCACCACTCATAACTGCAAAATCTCCAGCCACTACAGATGGATGGGGGTAATGGCAGGGGGTTGAAGGAACAGGACATGGAGGAGAGAGAGAAGAAGAGAAATAGGAAGAAAGAGAGAAAGGAAGAGGGAAAAACAGGGAGAATAAGAGACAGAGAATGAGGGAAGAAATAGATAACGAGAACAAGAAAGAGAGAAGGAAAGACGTAAAGAGAAGGAAATGTAAAGAGACAAGGCAAAGAAAAAAGAAGAAAGGAGAGTGAGCAAGAGAGAAAGGGGAAGAAAGGAGGAAATATGGGAAGGAAAGAGAAGGCAGAGTGGATTTCACGAGCCGGGGATTGTCCGCCGAACGCCGCCTCCCTCCCTCCCTGGGCGGGAGAGCCCGTGTCCCTCTCGCGGCCCCCGCCGGAGCGGCGGTTGCTTGGCCCGGAGCGGCAGGCGAGGGGGGTGAGCGCCCCGGCGGCTCCTCTCCCAAGGGCTGGGGATAGATGTGCGCCCCAACTCCCGAGCTCTGCTGCTCGGCGGCGCAGGCGGCCCCGCCGCAGCCCCTGCTCTCTGCTCCCGGGCTTTTCCTCTCTCTTTTCATTTTCTTTCACGATTTTCTATCACGTTGTCAATTAGAGTTACTGGCGAACCCCGCCCTCCCTCACCCCGCGGCATGTCCCCCATGCACCGCGTCCTCTCCCGTTATTTTGGGATGCGAGTTGAAGGGATTCAGAGAGAGAAAGAGAAAGGGAAAGAAATGTAGAGAGTGGGAGGGAGAGAGAAAATATTTTGTGTCCCGCGGCCGGTGTTCGTTCACAAACAGACCCCCACTCTCCTCACCCAGCTTGCGAGCTTGAAAGGAAAAATCCTTCGGTAAAAATAAATTATAATTCTAACACACTCGTGCTGGTCTGTCTTTTTTCTTTTTCTTTTTTTCCCTCACACAAACCTAATTCAGAGAGAATTTTAAAAATGCTCCTTTTTCCTCTGTTCCCCCTTTCCAGGCAAAACCCCGCTTTCTCTCATCTAAAACTGCTATGATCGCCTTTTTCCGATCTTTCTCCATTTCGAGAAATGACTTGGGGGAAAAAAATAAGTGTGCACCTGCTCAGCGCGGGCAGGGGAACGGAGCGAGGGAATAAAGAGAAATACCTCCTGTGGGGGCTCGGCGGGACCACCACCGGGGCGATCAGCGGTAGGGACGGGAGCGGTTCGCCCTGCCCGGGCGGGAGGGATGCATGAATGGATGGATGGATGGATGGATGGATGCTCGCTCGCAGCGGTGCAGCTTCGCTAACACTGCTACCTGCGCGTCTCTATCTCCGAAGAGCCAGCTGATATAGCTGTGGAGCGCACACTGTATTAAAGCTTTCTTTTCACACAACCCTAACCTTCTGCACTTCTGCATCTTCCTCGCGAAGAGATCTTTGTTCGTTTTGCAGTTTGCTGAAAAATGGTCTGTTTGTATTTTCGCTAAGGTTTTTTTTTTTTTTTTTCCCTGGGGTTTTCTTTTTTTTCCTCTCTCCCCTGCTTCTGACACTGACTTATTGGCTCTGAACTTAGTGGAAACTCTCATTGCCCTGCGATCGATCCAAGTCCTTTTCTCACAAATAGAGTTTTTTCCTTCTCCCTCACCCCTGCAGTAACACCTCCACATACACCCTCCCAGCTGCCTCTGCCGGGCCCCGGCTGCCTTCCGCGTCCTTTCCCCAGGAGCAGGGCTTATTCGCTGCACTCTTTTGTTAGTCTTTCTTAAAACATGTTTAGGGGTTCAGTGGGGAGGAGGGATATTTATCGTCCTGAAACCCGCAGGTGTATGTTGCCGTGTGTTTTCTTCATTTGTTCAGAACCCCTTCTGCACATGTTGCCTCTAAAGTTACAGGACAGCAATTTCTTCGGCAACTCCATGATAAATAATTCAAGGCACCTTTTATAACTCGCATTACAAAGTATTAAAAGGCAACAGATGCAAAAAAGATTAAAAATGAATAATTCACATTCTCGCAGCCCAGATATTTTTCACGAGTTTGTTTTGCTCTGTCCCGTGGTTTTCTAAGGTTATTTCTATCGGAGCAGCGAGATATTTGTGTGTATTTATATGCCTGTGAGTGCCGATGTCTCTGCACACACACACCCTCTCCCATACAGATGGTGTTCTGTGTGTGAGGAGCTCGTGCCTGCGTGTATTTTAATTGCTCACTAATATCTCAGTCTGTCGCTCTACAAATACACTTCATGGAACAAATCGAACGTTGATTTTGTTACTAATTTTTTTAATCGGAACCCAAAATAAAATAAAACCGGAGTTTTATTTTGAAAGCAGCGGCAGTGAGAAGCCTCTTTCGGCTGCATGTTCCGATCGTACCGGAGGCAGAATTACTGCCATCGCGGCTGGAAGCGGGTCGCACCGCTGGAAATTAAAAATCATGTCTAATGCACGAAGCTGTTTTCCGGTAAAGGTCTTGGAAAATTAAACACTACGTTTTAAGCATTGTATCCTGGAAATCATTCATTTGGAAACAGGAAGACAGTTGCCTACACCCCCGTCTGGGGATCTGAGGATGGGTTTGTGTTTCTGCGCCTTCCTTCTCACGGCAAAAATCGGGATTTTTTAAACTTCCAGCATTTCCATTTTTCGGTTGGGTTTGCTGCAGCGGGCAGGGCGTGTCCTCAAAAGTTTCGGTGTCAAAAGTTACAAATTGCTCTTAATTATTCATTTCCTGACCCGAGAAGCTCGCTCCCAATCTCAGCTTTCTATTTGTATTTTTTTTCTTTAATTTAAATCTCGGAAATATTTTCCCTCCTTGCGATGAAATTAAAGTCCCTGAAAATTCCTCGTTACAGTCCCTGGCAAAGGCGTCTTTTCGCTTTCCTCGGTTCCCCTTTTAGAGAAAGGCTCTTTAAAGTGAAAATATATCACGAATGCACTCCCCTCTCTGCCAGGAATGCGTTTAAAATGCACACCGGGGATCTGGCAAATAAACCAGGAGGGACGGTGACTTCTTGGGAGCCTCCGAAGCCACCAGATCTCCCAGCCATACAATTGTCCTATTTTTCCCGCAGTTCAGCCTTTCACCAGACCAAACCAGACCAAAGCACGGAACCGCCACCGACCAACCCGCCATTAATTTGAACCTGACGTCTCCCCTCTCTGTCACTGCCTCTCGAAACCAAAGTGAATAGCATCGGATCGCGGAGTAACCGGGGGTACAGGGCCGCGCAGGACTGCGGGAAGCCCTGGTCAGCTGGGGCAGGGACAGCGACAGGGTACGGCCAGGGGACTGACACGAGTCTGAATAAACTCGTTCTGGCTGAGGGGCAATGGGGAAAGTGCCGCTGCGGAGGAGAGGTCTGGTTCGGAGGGCTCCGCACACCCGCGGCACGGGGAGAGCAGCAGGTAGCTCTCTGGCCCGGGATGGGCGTCCCGGCCACGGCCCCTGCCCCGGCACGGCGCGGCGCGGCAAGGATTGCTGCTCCCGGCCCGGGCTGACCAGCACCATCGCTTGGCCGGCGAATGCCCGTCCTGCCTTCTCTCTAAGCCGGGGTTCGGCCAGGGAAGGGGAGGTTGGCGGTGAAGGGATGGACCTGGAGGAGGATCAGGTGAGAAAGAATGGTTGGGGAAGGAAGAATGGAGGGATGAGAAAAGGGAAGCAGCGGAAGGAGCCGGGCTCCAGTACTCACGGTGCATTGCTGAGAAGGGGTCTGCCTTGCAGTGCATATCCATGGGGAGGCAAAGGAAGGGGAAGAAATCGGCTGAAGCCGCCGTGTCGCCTCTAAAACTCAACTTCAATACTTAGGGGAGAAAAAAAATAAAAAAACAAACCAAACAAAAAAAACAAACCAAACAAACAAACAAAAAAAAACCCAACAAAAACACACAAGGAGAGGAGAGGAGAGGATGGGAGCGCTGGGGAGCGCTGGCCCCCCTGCCCGGCGGAGTGGGGCGAGAAGTACTTTCCGGGGTGCTTTGGGGCCGGCCGGCGGAGTCAGCAGAGTCCGTGGGAGCGGGCGGCTGGCGGCGCCGGGGGGCAGGTGGGTGTCATGGCTGGGGGGGCCCGGAGCATCCCCGGCGGCGGGGAGGGGGTGCCGGGGCAAGGGCCGGCTGACGGCCGGGCGGCAGAAGGCGCAGGAGGACGCGGCTCTCCCTCCTCCTCCCGCGGTCGGGGGCTAGTTCATTTAAGTTCAAAGCGGAGTAGCAATCCCCGGGAAAGCTGCGAGCGGCGGCGCGCCCCCTCCTCTCGGCCGGGCGGAGGATCCGGCGCCCGGCGGACTTTCGCCCGAGGTGGGAAGTGCTTGCGAGGAGCCGGGGCCGGAGACTGGAGCCTCCGCTCCCGGTGTGTGTCTCTCTAAAAGCCGCAGCGCCCTCAGCCCCCCGCCCGCCTCCCCGGAGATGGATGACTTGTCAGACAAAGGCAATAGATTCCGACACTCTCTGATTCGCCAGCGCGCCGAGCCGAGAGCGGCCAGGAGAGGAGAGGAGAGAGGAAAAGAGAAGAGAGGGGAGAGGAGGGCCGGGCCGGCGGCGCTCGGCGCGGGGGGGCGTCGCCTTCGGACCTGGCGGCAGGGGAGCCCCGGCACCGCGCCCCAAGCGCCCCTGGCCACGCGTGTCTGCTCGGCCCGCGAGAGAGGACCAGAGCCCTGCTTTGTTGTCCCTTGTGGCTCTAGACCTTTAACTCCTGTGTTTAACATCCGCACACGCACACACACGCGGCTCGGCAGTTTCATGTCCCTTCGCACGCCCCGCTCTCTTCTACGGAGACTTTACTCGGGATGAAATGGGAGCGATACACACTAGGGCTTCGTGGTGTGCAGCAGGGGTGAGAGCCGGGCGGGAGAGAAAGGGAGTGAGGGGGGAAAGAGTAAACGGGGAGAGGGAGAGTAGGGAGAGCTCGAGAGGGAAAGACATACAAGAAAAAGAAAGGAAAATAAATGGACGCTGGAGAGACCGAGAGAGGGAGAAAGAACGAAAGAGAACAAGAGAGCTTTACGCCTCTCTCTGACCCGGTAGCTTGGGCCCACTTTAGTCATGGCAAAGTTTTCCCTCGCACACAGTTGGGGAAATAACAGCGAATCCAACCTCACTCCACATCTCTGCTGCCTTTTTTTTTACTCTCAATGCTAGATCGGGATTTTAAAATTATTTCACAGGTACGACTACAGCTAAAATAAATGTGGCAGAGTAACAGAGCGTGGGAGTAGTGCCTTCAGAGGGTGATAACCGGGGGTAAAGACACGGGGTTGAAATTGTTCTGAGCTTAGATTTGGTTTTCGGACTAAGTTTACCATCACCTGGAATATACTTTTCTCCTCTTTTCCTCCTTCCTTATCCCTCTGCCTATCTGTCACCAGCCCCTTTGTTTTGTAACCGGTTTAAGTGAAGAATCTCCGAGACATCTTTATGAAATATTTTCCACTGTCTCATAAATCACTCTGGCACTTCAGCTGATGTTTTATCTTTCTCTCCCCCCTCTCTCCTCTCTCTTTCCCTTGTGTGCAAAAAGGATGATTTTGAAGAACAAAAAAGAATCTCGGTTTTAACGCCGCCGAGGGTTACATGTCACGAGGGGCAGCTCTCAGCTCCCCGGGCACCGCCGAAATGCAAGCTCAGCCCCTGACAGCTCTCCACGCAGGGTGACTTTTCCACCGGAGTAGGGGCTCTCCGCCGCTGCCAGGAGCCGCCCTCGCTGCCTCCCATCTGGAGAAGCCAGTTCTCCTCTCTTCGCTTCTCCCCTCCCCGCCTCCCGCGGAGCTCCCTCCGGACGCCAAGTTTGCGAGCGGCCGCGGGCAGCCCCGCCGCCGGCCCGGGTGCCCCATCACCGCCGCCCGCAACTCGCCCACCGGTGTCCGCACCTGCGCCCGGCCGCCCGGTCTCTTATCAGCCGCCCCCCCCCCCCCCCTTCCCCGCCAGCCCGGCGCAGGCCCCGCGGAGGGGCCGAGGGGCGGCCGGGCGCAGGTGCGGGGCGGTGGCGGCGCGCCTCTCCGCGGCCCCTAGATGGCGCCCTCCGGTCGGCTAGGCGGCGGCGGGCGCTCGGCGGCGGCGGGCCCCCGCGAGCCCTGTCCCCGCGCGCGCGCCTGCCGGCGGGGCTCGGCGGCCGCTAGGTCCCGCAGCGGCACCGCTCCCTCGGCCGCTGTCACGGCCGCCGCTCCGGTACCCCCCGTGCCTGGAAACCACCCTTCGCAACTGCCCTCCGCAGACCGGGGTCGGTCGCTCCTCGCCTTGCAGCGTTTCCTCGCCTCCCACCCCAGGCAGCCCCGGTCGCCCCGCGCCTTCTGGATCGGGCTGAGACGAACGGCGACGGCAGAGTCAGGGCTGAGAGGGTGACAGCCCCAGCAGTGCCCGGTGGAAAGTGTATCTCCTGGCCCCGTACCTGCCTTCCCCAGCCACCCCGGCTTCCAGGCAACTTCCTCACTGCCTCCCGCCCTGGGCCATCAGAAACACTCGGGAGTTCACTTTGTCTTCTGCCAGAGATGCTCTGGGCCTTTATAACTGTTGATTGTACGGCGAGGAGATAGCGTGGCTGGGGGAGCCGGGGGACCACAAATCCCCTCCCCGGAATGTGTGTTGCCGTAGTTTCCTCACTCCCTGTTGCACTTTTCCTTGTTTCAGTGAAGAGGAAAGCAGGAATGACAGACTCAAGAAATACACAACGGGAGCTCTCTGCAAGGCGAAGCTTGGGTCCCACGGCGCGGAGGGCACCAGTGAAAATGAGGAAGCCCTGAGCCTGGCAGAACAAGACCATTTTCTTGAGAAAGGGAGGGGGAAAAGGGAAGGAAAGAGAAAGTAAGAAGAAAGGAAAGGAAATGGAAATGGAAAGGAAAGGAAAGGAAAGGGAGAAAGGAAAAGAAAGGAAAGGAAAGGAAAGGAAAGGAAAGGAAAAAGGAAAAAGGAAAGGAAAAAGAGAAAGGAAAATTAAATGAAAGCGAAAAGAAAATAAGGAAAAAGAAGGAAAGAGCTCCCCGCTCGCTGTCCCCTTCCCCCACCACACATACCACAGTATCACCTGGTGCCCCTTCCCACACCATACTTCCTGGAAGAATTGCTTTGTCAACATTTAAATCCACAGAACAATTTCTGCCTGCCCCGATTAGAAACACAGGCCTTGCCCCACGGCCCCGGCCTGGTCCGTGTGCCCAGCCCGACCGGGCGAGGCCGAGACCACTGCCACGGCTCCACACGCAGCTCCCCAGCCTGCCCCACTTCACCAGCCCTGGGTGGTTTTTTCCCTGTCCCACTTTAAACGACCCTTTCTGTCTCCTTTTCTTTCCTTTTATCTTTTTTTTTTTTTTTCCTTTTTTTCACACTTTTTCGTTTTCCTGTCCTTTTTTTTCCCCTCTCTCCTTTTCTTATACTCTTTCTCAAAGAGGATCTGAGGATCTCCCCCTTCTTCGCTAACCCAGCCTCCCTCCTTTAAGCTGGAAACATTTACACTTCAAAAGAGGCGGCCGCCTCTCTGCGGAAATTTCAAGAAAAATAAACTTTCGGGGGAGTTGCGGCGATAGCCATCTCTCGATCTGCTTCATTAGACGGCTTTCTCCAGCTGATCAAGCCTAAATCTTCTCCATTGATCCCATTTCCCACCCCCGGCCCCAATACACATAACCGCGAGGTCTCCGAGGTGTGTTTGGTTCCCCCGCACCTCGCCGGGCTCGCCACGTCTCCGGGGCGCTGGCCAAACAACCGCTTCTGGCGGCAGCTGCCTCCTCACCTCGGCTGCCCGCCGGGGAAGGAGCCCCGGGACTGTGCTGTCTGCGATAGTCCTTGGCTACAGAGCTAGGACTTGCATGAACGTTGGCTCCCAGTTTCCTATGGGTTGTCTGTCTCTGGTGGCGCTGGGAACCAGTTAAAGGCGACCTGCTGCCTGCTGCGGGGCCGGAAGTTTTGTGGTTATATTTATGTTTTGTATTTTTATAACAACACATCGAGGTGCCGCTACCTCCTCTTCTCGCACACCGCCGCTCTTTTTCCCCTTGCCAAGCGGGCGAGCGCTGGCAGCCTAAATGTTGGTAGTTTTAAGGGGGTTTAGATCTGCTGTTAATAATCCCCAGCACCATATTTATAGGATAAATCTGCGCTGACCTTCTATATGTATTTTGCTGACCTGCGACAACTAATTTAACCTCGCCTGGGAAAGTCGGGGGCGAAATCCATGGTTATAAAAAGATAAACAAACAAACAAAATCCTCCCAAACCAAGCCCAGGGATGTGAGCATTTAAGGGAAGGAGTCAGCGTGTGTGTGAGAGGGGTCTGTGAGGAAAGGCGCGCTTTGATAAAACCTTCCCGGGCAACTTTTGGGGTGCTTTGTCTGAGTACATCCCACTGCCTCTCCCTAGGGAGAATCCGGGGGAAAAGAGTGTCCAGACCAGGATGACTCCTTGGGCTGTAGGGATTCCGAGGTCTTATCTTCCCATAGGGCAGAGGGCTGTAGGGCAGGGCCGAGGTGCGGGGCTTCCGCGTGAAGATGAGGGAGCGGGGTCAAAGCTGCCTGGGCCGGGCAGGGCGAGGGGAAGCAAACAGGGCCCCTCCGCCGCTCGCTGCTCCCCCAGCCGCTCTGCCCAGGAGACCCGGGATTGCTCTTGGTGGCCGAGTTTAACAAATAAACGCAAATAAACACAAAGTTAGGTTTAAACGAACAATTAATAAGAAAGAGCGCGAAAAGAAGACCCCCATCCTTCCCCTCCCCCTATGTTTCCGAGCCCCTCTCCCCCTTTCTCTCCCCCTCTAAGCACCTCTGGTCACGTTGGAGGATGAGTTTTTGGAGAGCTTCTGGTACAATATGGAGCACCACGGGCT